TTTTCTTCTCGTGTAATTAGATTCTTGTTCCAGGATGCACGAGCCTAACACCCGAAGGAATCATTAAAGCTGTCGAAATTCTCTCCCAAAACAACCACCGTCTAAAAAGGCTCCAAATCAATGGCATTTACGGCATTCGCAGACGAGATCTCGAAACACTTAGTACCCTAATCGATCAAACACATCTCCGCACACACATGACTTTATATCACGAGCACAAAAGCCTTTCGACCCTCCAACTCATAAAGATTGATGAGCCAATAGATGTCGATGTATGTCCCAAATGCAATCAAGTAGGAATAGTGTACGACTGCCCGCAAAACCTTTGCCAAAGGAAACAAGTTAGAGAATGTAAGGGGTGCGAAAATTGCATTATTAGATGTGTGGAGTGCGGTGTGTGTGTCTCGAGCACCCAGGGACCGGAAGAGGCTCTATGTTCGGACACATTGTGTCTCGACTGCTGGCTTAGGCTGCCAAAGTGTAATTTTTGCAACAAGCCGTATTGTAAAAGGCATGGTGATGAACGGGCTATTAGTGTTTCGCGCTCATCGGGATTTCTATGTGATGCTTGCCGTTTCAATTTCAATTGAAAATTTCTTTTTGGGTCTTTCATTCCTACTTTCTTGAGATGTTACAAGTTAATCTAACATACTAGCGTTGTTCTTAAAGCTCTTCCGGACGTAGCTCACCAAATATTCCACAAAACTATATGCTTCTCCATCCATTCCCGGAGTACTAATATGGACTGATTTCGTGTATACATATAATGCCCCAAGGTAAGCAACAGTCTCGTTCGATGAAAAACTACATCGAACTGCAAAATAATAATAATAATAATAATAATAATAATAATAATAATAATAATAATAATAATAATAATAATAATAATAATAATCGAACCGTACTGCAATTTAGAAAAAATTCGAATCGAAATTTTTTTACGTAAAACTAAACGAACTGACCGCACTGAAATGCACGGTTTTGCCCAGTTTTTGGTTTTATCTCGATTTTTCTTTATCCAATTTGGTGCGATTCAGCACAAAACCGCACTGAACATAATAAAAACAAAAACCGAACTTATAAAAAACTACAATCGCACCGCACCGCAATGTCGAAAAAAAAAAACGAACTGAACCCAAATTTTTTACACTAAAACAAACGAACCGAACTAAAAATTTTTTACATTAAAAAACTGAATCGAACCGCATTGAATTGCACTTCGGCTCGATTTTCAGTTTCGGCTCAACTTTGCTCACACCTAAGTATTAGATAATCATCGAGTCCACTTTATACCTCATTACATTTTTAGCTCTCTGATTTTATAGAAAAACTTAAAAGTCCAAACAATTGAAAAACAGTGACAATTAATCTCTATATCTATATCTATTTTCCTCGTAAAATATGCACAAACTATGATCTATTTCTAATAACCTAAAGCTCAGTACATTATATCAGGGATGTATTTGCAAATTTGGAAACAAAATCAACTTTTTTTCCCCCTTGAAATGATACCATACCTCAAGCAAAATCTGAAACACCTTCAACTGATTCTGTCGATGAGTAAAACCTGCTTTTGCATAATGCTGTGTTTGGTAAAACTTGTTAATAGCTGATAAGTTAACTTATAGTTTATCGATAATTTTCGAGCTTATAGCTTATAACTTATGAATTATAACTGAAAAGCTAGCTTATATGATTATATAAAGTATTCGTAAAATTAGCTAATAAGCTAGCTGAAACAAAATTTCAACGAGCTTATTTGAAAAATTACCCAAAGAAATTTATCAAATAAGCTCGAGTTTTCTAAAGAAGTTTGCCCTTCCAAACATATCTTATTTGAATATAAAGAGCTTATAAGCTAACCAAATAAACTATACGCTAACTTATTTGTCTACCAAACATAGCCTAAATAGTAACTACATCAACATCATCATCATCATCATCATCATCCAAAACTTCAACCTGGTTATATTGTACAGATTGAATGAAATCACTTCATAATCAAATCCCTCATAAGTACATTTCCACAAAAACCGTCAGTTCTTGCCCTAACACTCATTCACGAAACAAAATTGGGCACACTGAACTCATCGTGTCAAGGAATTTTAAACACTCCGTGGCCTTAAATTGTTCAATTATGAATTTCGACCTCGTTACAAGTATACGGTAGCCCAGAGTACAGCAACAAGAACTACAGAGGGAATGTACAAATCTACAATGCACAAGAATGCAGAAGGGCAACCAGATACAGTGGAGTTAAATGATGGAGCAAGTGCTGTGCTGTTTGGAAATGTGCCGTTTATTCCACCACTGCACGCCACGGAGGAAGAAAAAGAACACGCGAATTATTAGGAGAAAGCAAAGGTTGAAAACAACGTTACTGCTACAATGTTGCGAATTGTCAACAACGAGATGGCAAAAGTTAATCAAAACCGCATCGAAAATTCGATCAGAACAGTATTAGCAAATGAATGATTGCTTACCTTCCAGGATAGACACAAGGTTCATAACCTGCATGAGAAAAAGTATTTCATAAGATAAGCACTTCATATATTCTAGCACAAAAACTAAAAGAAAAATCACATAAATTAGTTGCAGGTATATTTAGTTGATGAAAATTTTCTAACAGTTCAGTCTTAAAAAAATGTTAATGGAATTTAGCTCGTTAGTGGAAATACTTTATATTGCCCAACTTTGCATGCAGTTCATTGTTTATATAATGTAGCAACAACAAAGAAACACCCTTCAGAATAAACTAGTTCAAAATATATTGAACAATTCATTCTTAAGATGCATGTCTTGACACATGCCAACATAAAAGGACCGGCTTTGTAATTTCAAAAGACAATTGTTTTTCCATTTCTGTTCTTGATAACTTACCTAAAGTAGATGGATTGTTTCTGTAATCATACCATATTTCATATCAATCATTAAATAATAAACATACTTGGATCCGTAGTGGTGATGGCTGCCACCCCATTGAAGTCACAAGTCCCGACACCCTTCCCCATCCGTTGATAATACGCATCAAACGCATACGATGCATGTGCCACCACAGTGTCGGGCTCGTAGCACGGCCCGCCAGGCTTCAACAGGGAGCAGTCCACCCGCCCAGGGCCGCAGGCCCAGTCCAGGCCTGCCTGCAGCATCTTTACGTCCACTCCTTTCCTGGCCACACAATAAGTCTGGTTCATCGTGTCATTTGCAAAAACTGTCCCGGATCCCGTCAGCCGCAGTGAGTACACGGGCACCCCGTCCCCCGTGAAGAGTCCCCAGTTTTTCTCTGAGATAGGGTCGGGCCTGAGATCCTCATTATAAAGCTCGTAAATGTAGGTCCCAAACCCAACCCTAGGGTGCTTGGGAGTCCCCGTGCCGTTGAGCACATGGCGGATGAGATTGCTGTTGTAGGTGGCAGCGTTTTCAGTGGTCGCGTCAGGCTCATCCTGCCCACCACTCGAAGGCCAGCCCGTTTCGGTCACTAAAATGGGTATATTTGTAAAGTTCAAATACTCCATGGCGAAGTAGGCTGCATCGACTACGGCATCAAACACGTTAGCGTAGTGGAGCTGCGTGTTGGGGTCCATGGCCTCATTGGAATGAAGCAAGGGCTGGAAAAGGGCGTAGTCGAGGGGGATGGCCCCGCGGGCCCGCATGTAATCATAGTAAGGGTACACGTTGAGCATGAGGGGCGAGCCGGTCGACTGTAGAAACGTGAGGAGGGGGAGCAGAACGGGAGTCCACGTGCGGTTGAAGAAGGCCTGGGACGGGGGGAATGCGTCGAGGATGAGGGAGGAAGGGAGAGGAGTGGAGACGAATATGTGGGCCCCACGGCCCGAGGCGACTAGTGCTGCATGGATAGACTGCAGAGCAGGGACGAGGATGGGGCCCGCATTGGGGAGGGCAGAGGGGACCTCAGAGCCGACACAGATGGCGGAGATGTCGGTGTGAGGGAGGTAGGGGAGAATGGAGCGAGCCACCCAGTTGGCGGCGGTGGTGTTGGACTGGCCGATGGCGATGAGGTCCTCGTTGGGGACGGAGACTGCCACGCGGATCGATGTGTTGGCGAGGGCCCGAAGCATGTCACCGTCTGCATCGAAAAGGCGTACGTGGGTCACCTGCTGTGCCTGCAGGAGGGACACCACCTGGGCCGGGCTCGGGAGTTTTGACAGCGACATCCCGATGTTGACTCCGATGAAGGGGGCTGACAAAGGTTAGTGATATGATTACAACGGGATTTTAGCAGTCACAAATGTAGAATAAAAGGTAATACAGATCAAAGTAAGGCAGTTGGCATGAGATCCATCTTAGACTGAAAGTAGTTTACTAGCATATCAAGTATATCAAATTCTTTTGGAAGCTCACAAGATTTTAAAAGCATTTTTAGGAGCTTATAAGATATTCAAAATGTGTTGTTGTATGCACCTTAAACAACAACAGATAAGCAATTAAAGACTCAGCTGATAATGATGCATATGATCGACCAAACTATACATATAGAAAACTCGATTCAATAGAACAAGAGATTATCTACAAACCTCCAATATATCACCATTTTGAAATGAAAACTTAGATCAACAAGAAGTTAGGTCGCTTATTTCTTCATGAATATTGAATACCATGACAGTCGTAGATCCACACGGTTTATACCATCCTCAGCATTCTTTTCAGAAAACATAAATTACAATGTCAAACTAACACAAACAATATCCAAGAGCCACTCTAGGATTCTTAGGTCTCAAAAGGAAGGTTCCATATCAAGAACTACCAAATTCAAATGTACAGCACAACTACATCACCGCTCATTTATGTAACATATCAAGTTATCTTACGAAAAAAGATTCTACTTCTTGCATTAATATGTTCACATCCTATCAATGGAAAAATAACACATTTTCACAGCATAACTGGGGAGAGAATTTCAAGTCATTTATAATTCATTTCCATGTTTCGAATGGAAGCAAAAACAAGGTAAAAGATTAGTTAGAAATTCCTATTAACATAAAACTGCAGTTATTTCCATTAAGACTGCAGTCACAACTCCCCCCAAAATACATATCATTACCAACATGGCAAGCACTTGATGCAGTGCCATGTGAAAAAAAAACCAAAGGCAATACTTGAAATAAGCCCAGCCAACTCAACTAGCATCAGGAGGGTCACATGCCGACATTTCAGACGACAAACTTAAACGACAAAATAGTCCTTCAAACCAACATTGTATCGAACCCAACTTGGGTAAAGGCCCTGTCTGTTCCTCCCATTACAGTATCTTTTTGTGCAAAATGTACATTTCAATAATGTCCAAAAGAGAGAAAAGAAAAACAAAAATAACATGAGCTGGTTAGCAATACAGCAAGATTCCAATGTGCATAAAGACAAATCAAAGGCTCACAGTAAAATAATACAGAAATCAAAAACACCCTTCAAAACTTTATGAAGCACGAACCATTTTTTTTTATCCAAATAAACAACAAATCTACATTATAGTGCAAAAACAATACAATCCCCTAAAAGATTACGACAAATTGCAGCCAATTTTACCTGGTTACATACAAAAAAAAAAAAAGGTTTGTGTTACCCACTAATAGCCCATTTTAAAGAAAATATTCAAGTTTCTGTTTATGAACAAGGGCTCCTTCAAAAGAGAGAAACAGTGGGAAAAAAACCCACAACAGAACCAGAAACCTAGTAAATCTCAACACCCAGAAAGCCAAGACGACACAGTAAGGCTTAACAGCACATATAATACAGCAGCGAGTAACAGAATCCAGAACAAATAAACACCTCACGAACAGTGCCGAAGTAATTTCAAAAGGAAAAACGAATAAAAAAAGAAGAAAACCTTCATCAGCAGAAGCAGAAACCAGCATCAAGACAACAGCAAGAAACACTAACCCCATTTTAGTCTCTCTCTCTCTCTCTCTCTCTCTCTCTCTCTCTCTCTCTCTCTCTCTCTCTCTCTCTCTCACTCCAACTTTCTTTAGCTTTCCCAACTTAAAAAGGTTCTTCAGTTTGGAGGAACGTTGAGCGATGAAAGAAAGCGACCTTTTGCTGGAGATGCGAATGACCCACGGAGACGGAGTGAGAGTGAAAGTGAAACACACAATTCTAAAACAAGAGAAATTTTTGCGCGGCACATAAAAGAAAGTCGTATAAAAGTATAAATGCCTGGAAAAAAGGTCGTGTTTCGTGGATACATGTTAATATGTCTATACTTATGTAGTATGCGCACATTAGTAATATTAATATGTTTCAAAAAAATACATTAACAATAATATGTGCCTATTACATAAACGGTGAACATATTAACATGTGTCTATCGTAGATGCAGAGTTGTAGACTAAAATAATATTGACTTGACAATTAAACGAATGTCAGCATATTATATTTTAAACATAAATATATTTTTTTGAATATGAGGTTCACTAGTCCTGTTCGTAGATGTATTGATTGTACTATAGGACAGGGAGTCGGGAATCGGACGGTCGGGATTCAAGCTTTGCTGCTGCTGCTGCTTTTTCTTTTCTTTTGTCAGCATTTACAGCTGATGGATGGATATGTCCCGAAGCCACTTTGGATGCGAAATCTCTCTTTTGACCTTGCGAATGTTGGCCCACACCCCACATTATTTTTACCGTATGTTAAAGGATGATAAACTTACAATTATTATAAACTCTATAAACCTAGTTTTATGAATTCAATTTTTATTCAGAAAGCATTTGTTGTTTCTTCAATGTTTGCTTTTCTAACGGTAAGATTTCAAAATTTGGCGACTTGTAAGATCAGTGTCTATAAAATTTTGAAAAGGAATTTTGTATCCTTTTCCTGCGATTTTTGCATCCAAAACCTTGACTCCTTCAATGCAAATGTAATAAACAATCAACTCAGCGGATCCTCCATCTACAAACAACTAGTGCGTGGCACGTGCAATACACGTGAAAACAATATTACGATTCTGTTATAAATTAAATATGCAAATAAATTAATCAAGATTTACCCATTGTTTTTAAATTAAACCGTGTTGGACATAGTACGACCGGATGGACCAAAAACTGGGTTATAACCAGTCTAGTTCGTTTGAATAAAATATTTGCTGTTGAATTCGTCAATACCAGTCGGTTGAATTGGTAGGATCGATACAATTTTCTAAATAAATTTATGTTGCATTTAAAATTATATTAAATATAATTACATTTATAAAATACATAGAGATTTATAAATTGTTTATCAATTAGTTTAAATATTTGAATTTTTAAACTGTATAAATATTTAAGTAACAAAAAGTACTTAATATATATATATATATATGTATATATATTAAAGCACATTTTTAAAGAAAAAATAAATTGTATGATTTTTTAAATTAAATTGAATGATTTGAGTGTATGATTATATTAAAGCGTAATATAAATTAAATTGTATGATTTTTAAAGAAAAAAATAAGAAAAATAATAAAACTACTATTTATGTGTTGCATTAAATGCTGACCTATTTTTTTGCTACTATTTTTGGTAAATAGGTTCTCTCTTTATATATACTAGTTGTAACCTGTGCATTTGCACAGAAAACATTATGATAAAGAATAAATAATAAAAAATACAAACAATAGTAAAAATTATAATATAATCATTAAAAAATGTTTTAAGAAAGAAAAATCTAAATATTATTAAATATTTTTTCATATACAATGTCCATGGTTTTGCTATCGTCAGAAATCTCAATCACCACAAATTATTATTTTCAAACTCCTTTGACTCGTAAAGACGATCCGAAATTTAAAACGGTTCAGTTAGCCCATTAGACTTAAAAGTTTGAACAACAAACATTAAGATTTTTTTTTTTTACTCAAATGGCCAGACATGTATGATTGGCCCAACTAAACAGTGACCCAATCCTTGTTTTATTATATGGCCATAGTGTGCGTAGAAAAAGTAATGGTTGAAATTTTTATTTTATATTTTAACTCAAATTGCCCAAAATATTGGCCCAATGCTTTTTTTCTTAAATGGTCATAGTGCATGTGGAACATTCAGGAAACTTGTTGGGGGAGGGGGGATTTAAGGAGAAAACCCTAGCCCGAGACAATTACACCACATAACCAATTAGACTCCTCCCAAAATTTTCTATTCCCGCAGATCGGAGAAGAAAACACGATCATTTCTCCTTATTTCATCATATCACTTTCGAAATAATAGAAAGTCGGTGAAATAGGTCGATACATCTCGATAAATTTGGTAAATTCTCTCTTTTTTTTTGTGTTTCCGCTTTCTAACATATAGAAAGTACAATAGGCTGATATATATCGGCACAACTGATTTTTATTTTTTTTTTTCAATTTTATTGTTATTTTTTTAAGTAAATATGCAAAAAATATTTTTATTTAGTGTAATTTCTTTGAAGAAATTTGTTTTCAAATCATTTTTTAAATTATTTTGTTTGCAAAGAATCTGTTAGCAAAATATTTAGTGTACTTTGAAAATAGGCAAAATTGCATATAAAAGCACCACCTTTCATGTTTTTGCAATTTAATCACCACCTTTGCAATTTAGCAATTTAATACACCACTTTAGTTATTTCTTGCAATTCGAATCACAGGGCCCAATTTCGGGCCTCTTCTGGTGACGTGGCATTTTTGTGGTGACGTGGTGTTTCCACGTGTCAATGATGTGGCATTTTTGGGCTGACGTGGCAGTCTATTTCAATTGAAAAAAAAAAAATATGTATGTCTTACATTAGGAGGAATCGAACCCTAACCTCCAAAGGAGAAAGATAGCTATGCTACCAACTCACTCATCCATGTTAGTTAACATATTCAATAACAATTTATATATATATAGGAATTACGTATGAATAAATCATATTAAATTTAGAATAATTAATTATATTATATTATATTAATTAAATATAAAATTATAATAAATTAAATTAAATTAAAATAAAATAAATTAAGATAATTAAAATACAAAATTTTATTAATTCATATTTTGTGTTAGAGTATATTATTTCATAATAAGTTATTTTGTTTATTATTTTATTTTATTTTATTTGAATTCACCTTTTTTATACTTTATCATCTTATGTTATATTATTTTTATTATATTTTAATAAATATAACTTATTATGAAATAATAAATAATAAATAAAAATCTTAAATAAATATAATAAATTATTTTTTAAAAAATATAATTTAAGTAAATAAAATGTTAAATAATCGTAAATGAATAATAAAACAAAAAGTGTTATTTGTATATAAAATAATAAAATATTAAAAATCTCAAATGAATAATAATTTATTATATAATAATAATTTATTATATTTAAATTTATTTTAAATAAATAATTAAAAATATTAAATAAATATAATATAATTAATATGATTCACTCTAACACAAAATATGAATTCAAAAAAATACATTTTAATTATCTTAATATGTTATTTTTAATTCAATTTTATATAATTTAATTTAATATAATTAAATTATCTTTTAGATTAAATTTGATTTAATATAATTAAATTATCTTTTAAATTTAATTTGATTTAATATAATTAAATTATCTTTTAGATTTAATTTGATTTTTTCATACGTAATGTGTATATATATAAAAGGTTACTATATTTAACAACTAAGTTGGATTGGTGTGGTGGTAGCAAAGGCTGCCCTTCAACACTTTTGACCCAGGATCGAATCCCATATAGGGCGTGCAACATATTTTTTTTTTAATTGACACATGGGTCGCCATGTCAGCGCAAAAATGTCATGTAATTGACACGTGGAATGTCATGTCAGCAAAAAAATTCCATATCAGCAGAACGGGCCGCCACGTCAGCAGAACATGCCCGAAGTTGGGCCCTGTGATTCAAATTGCAAAAAATAATTAAAGTGGTGTATTAAATTGCTAAATTGCAAAGGTGGTGATTAAATTGCAAAAACATGAAAGGTGGTGCATTTATATGCAATTTTGCCTTGAACATAATATGTGCAATATTTTTAGTCTCAATTTAAAACTTTAACTGATTTTTATTTTTTTATTATTTTTTGCAGGTCTACTTCAAAGTTTAAGGAGTGGTCAATTATTTATTATTTGTCATTATTTGTAATGTTTTTTAAATTTTGTATGTGTTGTATTTATTCCCTTTTCTTGGCATGACTGAATATTTTTTCATTTATAGAGCAAAATAAAATAGTATAAAAACATGACTAATTATTATTTTATTGTCTAAATATTTCATTTAATTAAGTTTATGCCTAATAAAAGTTTTATTGTTAATTGAAAAAATATTTCATCTTTGGATGAGATTGTAACTGCCACATTTAATACACAACAGAGTCATTTTTCCACATTTATTGAATGTAACTTTTTTGGCGGAAATATGAAAATATGTTTTATTAAATGTTTTATTAAATGCTATATGCCAGTAATTATATATATATATATAGATTAGTTTTTATTAGATATCATAAAAGAAAATAAAAAGATGAAAATACCATTTAAAAAGAATGAAACGTTACAATGTATAATAATAAATGTACAATAATAATCCATAATTGTAAAAGTAACGTTCATTGTATATAGAAGGTTGTAATATTTATTAGGTATAATTTATTAGGTAAAATTGAATAGGTTTTATTTATGAGGTTTTATTTAATGATTAGCTAACAATTATATATATATATATATATATATATATATATATATATATATATATATAGATATAGATTGAACCATGTCTTTTAGAGGATGCTTCGATATAAATTTTTTCAAAAGAATCCAATCATTTTTAATCAATCACTTTTTTTTTAACTCTAATCTAACGCAACATTAACTCAACCACAATATCTTCAATATTATAAATATAATTAAATAATATCATTCAATCATTTTTACACATTACATCAATTTTAATTCACTATTCATCCAGTCACGTAATTTTAATTTATCACTACTTCACATCATTTATCTTCTATTTTTACATCAAATCAACTTTAATTATTATTTTAATATAAACCCAAAATCCTACTAACAATTATTCATACCACATTTTTTAAAATTAACTATACCAAACCAAAAATCTAACCAAAGGAAAAAAAAAAAAAA